AAGTCTTCCTCTCTGTAAACTGATTCCCAGTTTTGCCCCATAAAATCCTCTTTTAGCCTCCTTACAGCATGTTCATTCGTCACCCTCCTATAGAAAAGATTTGTTTTTGGCCTCTCTTTTCTATACTGGCCCTCATAAACCACAAATACTGGTAGATGATCACTAATATCATTTATAAGTAATCCACTTGTCATTTTGCTGTCAATAACATTGGTAAATATATTATCTATTAGTGTTGCATGCTGGGTTGTTACTCTACTTGGTTTTGTAATTTTTGGGTATAAACTGCATCTTTATATTGTTTTAATAAACTCCTCAGATCCTGTGTGCTTGTTAGGATTTAACAAATCTATATTAAAGTCACCACATATGAACATTGATTTATGACTTATTGTCAAGTAATTTTCTTCCATCCAGTCATTAAATTTTTCTGTGCTGGCTTCAGGTGCTCTATAAATACAGCTTATTACAACATTTTTCTTTTTTTCCATGAGTATTTCTACAGTCACACACTCCAGCAAATTATCCACCACCCTTGACATTTTCTCCACTTTCTTATAACAAAAGTTTTTATCTATGTACAAGGCCACACCACCTCCCATCTTATTCTCTCTGTTTGTGCATACCAAGTCATAGCCATCAAGATCAAAATCCATTCCCCTTATATTATTCATCCAAGTTTCAGAAAACCTTTATGACTAAAGATGTTTAGGTGTCCTCGGCTGTATGTGCTCAATGTGTACTTGTTATAGTGGCCATCATTTTTAGTTCCACTAAGGCCCAGAGTGGTGAGAGTGGATCTCAAGGGGGGATTGGGAATTGGAGCTGCTGCAGCCTATAGAGGAACCAATATACCACCTCACCCCCGCTGAGAACTTGGTGCTGGAAATGAACTCATAAATCAAGCAGCAAATTGAGTACAGGGCTGTGCTTACTCATCTCAAGAGGTCCGCTCCTCTTCCTCCACACAGCCTTGCTCCTTTTTACTGCATGACTAATGCAACGCTGCAACTTCTCTGCCTGTGCACATCCCTCACTCTGCTAAACTCTTATCAAAAAGGGTGGATGTTATTTTCCAGTAAACATTATACTGTAGCTCTGGCCTGCAGTCCAGAGTGAGCATAGGGGACTTCTATAAAGGGAAAAACTCCACAAAAAAGTAAGTCAACCCAGGATTTGGGTCCAAAAACCAGTGGCATCATGTCCTACAGCTGAACTTCAGCGCCTCATTGTGATGCTGCTGGTGAGAGCTGCCTGTCTCTCAGCTTGTGAGGAAAGTCTTCCTTGCTTGCCTCAGGCTATCCTGATAGTCACAGCCCTTGTCCAGAGGAATTAAAATAGGACTTGACTGAAGCTGTTTGGGGACTGGCTGGGGAAATGGCACACAGTTGCCCTTTTCCTGCAGCGGGACTCTAACGGAGAGTTCAACATGCTGTGATGTGCCCATGCATGTTTTGTCTTGACGTGTGACGTTGAAAAGGAAAAAAAGTCTCAACTCAACTTCATTCTTCCTCTAGCTTTGTTTTAGTGCTGTGCCAGCACCAGCACTCTCTTGAATGTGAATTTTTTAATGATATCCTTAAAAGAAACAGCCAAAGAACTATTTCAGTGCGATTCTTGTATACAAGCAACATACCTGCATGTAAAAGTCTACATCCTCCTGAGCTGTTCCTTTCTTAAGCAGGGACTGTATTGCCTCCCGTAGCTACTCTCCATCACAGCAGCAATACACAGTATTTTATCTGACACCTGAGGGACGCCAGGAAGGAGGAATCTACCTTACTCCTCTAAAATACAACTGCCACGGCTGAGCTGAAATCAGATCTCTACTGACCTCTGTTGGTGAAACACTGCCACAGTCTTGGAAATCTGTGGGTTCACAACCCAGTTTTTTTTTGTTTTTGTGACCAGCTCATTTGTTTCATTTTTTGATTTGGTGCAGGTACAGACAAGTGAGTGAAAATCCTAATCCCAGTAACAGTGGCTGCATAAATAAAAATCTGGAAAGGCCATCATTTCCCAGGTTAGACCATCTTAGACCCAAGTTCAAGTTCTGTCTGTCTTCATGCACTGATATCTTGGACAGCTAGTTTTCACTGTTTCACCATTTAAATGGTAAATGGTAAGTATTTATATAGCGCTTTCTCACAGTGTGTTACACTGGCCAAAGCCCTTTACAGGAGATCATACACCATTCACCCATACATTCACACACCGATGACGAGAGGCTGCCGCACACTGGCGCCAGTCGAACCACCGGGAGCAATTTGGGGTTCAGTGTCTTGCTCAGGGACACTTAGGCATGCGGGGAGACCGGGAGTCGAACCACCAACTTAGAAGACGACTGCCCTACCTCGTAAGCCACAGCCACCCCCCTAGAGACTTGCATCTTTCAAGATGCCTGCAAAGACCCATTTAACTAGCTGTAATCTGCTTGCATGTTGCACCTGGAAGCGAATGCCTGGATTTCAACACCACCTTAGTGTTATGAATAGGATTTGAAACCATTTTTCAGTGGTGGAAGTAACTCTGCATTATCTCAAACTTTAGCTATACTGTAATTCATATGTACTATATGAGACCTTATAGTGTACAAATATTGTACTTTTAACTTATGTTTCAGATTTTACATGACAAAGCATATAATGAATTTATAAAATAAGTGATTGCAGTGGTCCGTCCGATCCCCCCG